TATAGGAAGTCAGGAAATTATAGTTATGGTTCTCAAAAGAATAGACTGCTGGTATATAGTATATATATTGGATTTATGTACAACCAGCAAAGCAATTACTTGAGTATGTTATATGCCAAAGAGGCACACAATAAGTTTTACGTAAATGAACCTTAACTTTAAATTTCTTCATACTGTGCATTTAAAATTTCAATCCCAAAATTTTATTTCAAAGTTGAGAAATAATTAATATAACGCTCCTCTTATGTGTAGCCATTTGTGATTATATCACCTTAGTTGGTGGGTATTTACATTTGCTATAATATCTGTCTAAAACACCATATGAAAAATAAAATAATGCTATTGTTTTTATCTCTGGATAAAAAGCTGTAGGGTATATATATTTTTCCAGGGTGTTGATGGATATGCACTGATCCAGTCACATCTCCTCCCATGAATCTCTTGTACATACAGACATAGGTATACCTTTCAACATCCAGGACATGCAACTGAGCTCAGTGAAGTCTATGGTTCAACAAAGCTAACTAGCATGTGTAAACTGAGGCTCCTTAGCATTCTGCTCTAAGCCCAATTCACTACCCAATTTCATTTTCTAAATGCCTTAGGACCTTGAGGAAGGGGCTACAATTATTACGTAAGACACAGCTATAATCTGATTTTTTTTTTTTTTCATCACAGATGTTCTTAAAGAGTCATGGAGTGGTTAAGTAAGGCAATAATGTCAAACTTCAGTGAAAATGGCAATCTCCTTATGGTTTCCCTGAGTTTGTTCTATGTAATTTCCCTTTTCTTAATAAGGGACATTCAAAATGTTTATACTACTTTCTGACATGGTTCTTCAGTAGTCCAATTAAAGAATGAGAAGATAGAAAAATAATAATCTGCATAATACTATCATCTATTATAGAGTAAAACACATAAAAGTAGGAAATTAATCTTAAACCTGAACAATACCCATTATCCATTGGATAATGTCCCAATAACCACTGTATCACTACCAAGACTGATTAAATATAATATTAAATCTAGATAAATCAATTGGGTAAAAAAATAATCTTTTATCACTAGAAAAGTCAATCTCTTCATCTGATTTAAGTACCATATTTGGTTCCTATGGTTAAAAATATCTGATGGTTTAAAAAGGGTTAATTTTCAGTACACTGAATGATTAGGCTTCTGGGCCTATGATCTTTCCATGAATTCATTAATTAGTAACATGGGCTGAAGTCAAATCTAAAAGTATAAGCAATTTATTTTCTCAGTCTCTCTCAAGTCATTCAGTAAAAGGAACATGGGTTTTGGGGCCACAGTGACTAGCTTTAAATCATGCTAGATCTCTTGCTAGCTGTAAAGTCTCGGGTAAATCACTTAGGCTTAACCATCTATTTTTCACCCTCCTAAGATGGGGTTAATACCACTTACCTTGCAGAGTTGAGAAGTGTTCTGGATGTGATTGACACTTAACAGATTGTAATTATTATTGTTATTATAGAAAGTAAATAGTGAGATGCTGATTTTGTTTTATACATCATTCACAAGGCTTGATATATTTATACAAGGCCTGTGAGTAATGATCCCAATAATAATGTAATCTCTTAGCAAATAATCTAAAATAATATAATGTAATCTCTTGGCAAAATCTCTGACATAATATACCTGTATTAACATTTACAACAACCCTATGAGGTATCATTTATTATATTTATTGTACAAATAAGGAAATTGAGGCACAGAGAGATTATATAATTTGCTCAAGGTCATACAGTAGAGTCAGGATTCAAACCCTGGCAATATGACTGCAGAACTTATGCTATAAATCACTTCATTAAAAACCTGAAAACAACATTATTGTAAGATAATGGCCATTCACTCATCAAATATGTATTGAATGCAAACACAATGCTACATTTGGTGCAGGGCACTAGAGTCCAAAACTTTGTCAGGACTACAAAACCTATAACCTTCAAGGAGCTTACAATATGGCGACCAGAAGCAATACTACCTTAAAGTCATGACTCAAAAGCCATATTTTTCTGGCTAAAAAAAAAATCCTTTGTATTACTGTTATTTGAAAACCATACAATTCCAAAATTATAGCACAACCATAATTTACTTAGAGAACTATCAGGGTTTCTATATCTTCTGAATAACTGTGAATAAAATTCTCACTGCACTTGATTTATCTTTATGCTTACATCTTTTAAGAACAGACACAAAAACTATTCTTATGTAATGACTGTTATGTGTCTAACATCACCACCAAACTGGGTCATAAAAGGAATTTCTGGTCATTAAAAATACCAAACGTTTGGTCAAAAGGTGGATCAATGTTAAAGGCTCAAATAAGTAGCAAAGGGAACTAGATAAAGGAGTTCTATTTCAAAACTTATATATAAGAACAATGACTCTATGACCAGGTACACAGATTTCCTGCCTCCTTTTTTTTTTTTCCTTTCCTCTTTCCCCCTTATGGCTTTAATCATTATTTTTCACTCTCTCAAATGCACAAAAATAAAGTAAGTAGGTTTCTGACTACCTGAAAATATTTTATGAGCTTTAAAAATAGGGTTATCTCATTTACCCTAGGATAAAAGAGTTAAACCTATCAAACCAAAAAGCAATTGTGGATAATGTATAATTTATATAATGTATATAAAATATCATGATTTATATAATGTATATAAAATGCTAAAATGTTACCCTTGTTGCAATTTTATCCATCTTTGTTTTGAAGAACTGTACTACTGCATACTACTACATAATTATGTAAATGAAATCAGACCAATAATCTAACAGCAGGTCTGCCTTTTACCCTTTTTTCATCGGAAACAGCTTGTTCAGAAGACAAGGAGGTTAGTAAAAGTAATGGAGTCATTTTCAGCTCAGTCTGAGTGAAGGTTATTCTGAAGAGAAATTACTTTTTCCCCCACTTTTTTGCAATAAACAGAAACCAAACAATAGTTGGCAACCTGGACATCTAACAGAAAAAGTATTATAAATGATCTTCAAAAGGCACCTAGCCTGTAATAAATATAAACCTATTAATTTTGCAAGTGAGCACAAATCTAGATATGAATGGTATCCCCCTGGTTCCCTGTAGAAAAAGAGACTGCTCCAGTAGCCCACACAGTGCTCACCTGATGCTGTCTGTCTTCTGGCCACCCCTGGCACATGGCTGAAACTTGCAGGTGTTTCTCCAAGGTTTGGTTACTTCCTGTGACTCCTTTTCATTGATTGTCTGCCATTCCCTCAGTTAAAAGCATGCGTCCTTTATACTTTTCAAATACATCTAGTTTTTCAAGGGCTGTGATGGTGAGTGTTGTGGGATCTGGATACTTTTTTAAAAGAGGAAGTCTGAAGGTTTCCTTGTAGTAAAGTTTCAGGTATACTGAGTGAACATTTCATTTGCTTATGTGCAGAATGCTTTTACATTTGCTTTTTAATTTCATTTGTTGGCTTCAAACTTCTTGGGGAAAGAAAACAGTAGAGAAGCATCTTTTAAAATGATTGCCCAATTACTGGCATTTCATTCAAATCATGGCCTATTGTGGTGTATGTTTAACACTCCAGTGACGACATTTTCCTTTTCGATTCAGTCAGTATGGGATAACATCAGTGATTTTTTTTTTTTTTTGGTAGTACAAATAAGCATTTTGTGATTCATTTCACCGCCTCGAATCCTCAGACTTAACTTTATTTGTGCGGTTTATTCAAACAGTGGTTTTCCTTGTGAAATCATGTAAGGAGGAACCATCTGGAAAGGTTACTGTGGAAACGGCTGGGGCTAGGGGGTGGGGCTAGAGAGCAAGAGATGCCATGACGACCTTTTTCGGGTTTCCCGGGAAACAAGGGTTGCTATGGGAACTGCATCAGTCAGGTCTGAATTAGTAACTTCCGCTGGAAGGAGTGTCTGCCACTTTAATCTTCTTGTGATACTGCAGAAGCTTATCTCTCACATACATTAGGAAAAATTTTTTTGTTTCTCTAAGCAGCGCTGAAAACATCTGTTTCTAGACTTTGATAGATGCTAGCTGGAATGCACACAGTTTCACAGGAATCTGTTACTCTAATACTTTCAAAATGCTTAACAAGCCCTAAAGAGTTAAACTAATTAGTCAGATTAGGACATCGCAGGCCTTTCCCTTAGTCCGAAGTTCTAGAGATCCTTAAAATTCCAGGGGGCAGGGTTCAAATAGAAATTCCAGTTGAAAACCAAATAAATTTATGGTGGGTTTACAAGTCATTGTTCTAAATAGACTTTTCATTCAAATATCCACAGTGTTGGCAACTCAACTAAATATTCAATAATGTTGAAGAGTTCATCAAACTGAAGCATCCTTTAAATATATTCCTGCTTTACTTAGTAAAGAAACAACTGCCTGTCGAGTCTGAGGTTAAACAGTTATTCTAACTGTTCTTCAGTTTCATTTCCTCCCAGGATGTACAGCTTGGTTTTTTTTTTTTTTTGGTTGGTTTTTGCTTTTTTTCTTACAGAGCGTGTGCTAAAAATCAAGTTTAAAGTAAGTTTGTTGTCAAAATATTAAGAGAGGGAGAGAGGGGTTAAAGAAAGGAGAGCTGAGAGAATGCAGCCCACTTGCAGAACAGACACCTGTTTCAGTATGAAGCATGAGGGAGAGGGAGAATGAAGTGTGCTTTCCACTTCTTCATGTCCTTTCCTTGATGAATGGTCTGAAATGTATAAAACGAGGGTATACACAGACCAAGGGGGCACGTTCCACACAATACTGAGCACAGCATGTCACTTGTTTCATATATTAAACATCGGTAAATATCTTTTTGATGTTGACACAGGAGTTGGGATTATTGTTCGTGGTGCAGGTGGCCGTGGAATTGCCCGTTTTGAAGGGTGCCTGGGGGAAAGCGCTATGGTTCATACCCCCCTCTTCGATCACCATATACTCCGACTTACTCAGAGTGGAGTTACTCCTTGCTTTCCGGAGCTCCTCAGCTGAAGGGGAGAGATGCTGGCAACTTCCCACGTGCAAGTACTGGGCTTGCTCTTCCCCTTCTGTCTCCCGGTGGTAGAAGTAATTGAAGTTGGAAACAATTACAGGGACTGGCAAAGCAATGGTCAAGACACCTGCGATGGCACACAGTGACCCCACAATCTTGCCCCCTATGGTCACCGGGTGCATGTCACCATAACCTACTGTTGTCATGGTTACCACAGCCCACCAGAAGGCATCCGGGATGCTGCTAAAACCTGAAGTGGGGTCGTCCGCCTCGGCAAAGTAGACAGCGCTGGAGAAGAGGATGACTCCAATAAAGAGGAAGAAGATAAGCAGCCCCAGCTCCCGCATGGAAGCTTTTAGCGTCTGCCCCAGGATCTGCAGCCCCTTGGAGTGGCGGGAGAGCTTGAAGATGCGGAAGACCCTCACCAGGCGGATGACTCTCAGGATGGCCAGGGACATGGCTTGCTGTCCATTGCCCTGTCGCTCAGCTAGCTCGGTGCCTAGAGTGATGAAATAAGGGATGATGGCCACGATGTCTATCAGGTTCATGATATTTCGCGAGAAGGTAGCTTTGCTGGGGCAAGCGAAGAACCGCACCAGCAGCTCAAAGGAGAACCAGATGATGCACAAGGTCTCCACCACGAAGAAGGGATCCGAGAAGCTGGCGGCTCCCGCGGAGCCCCCCGACGTGCTGTTACTGGCCGCCTCGAACAGCTCCTGCGACGGCGACGCAGTGTAATACTTCTCGTCGCGGAACTCGGGCAGCGTCTCCAGGCAGAAGATGACGATGGAGATGAGGATGACGAGCACGGACACGATGGCGATGCCCCGGGCCGGCCCCGAGCTCTCCGGGTACTCGAAGAGCAGCCACACCTGGCGCTGGAAATCGCGGCGGGGCAGGGGCCGCTCTTCCTCCCGCAGGAAGCCCTCGTCCTCGCGGAACTTCTCCATGGCCTCCTCGCCCAGCTGGTAGAAGCGGATCTCCTCGGAAAAGATGTCGATGGGCACATTGACAGGCCGGCGGATTCGACCCCCGGACTGATAGTAGTAGAGGATGGCGTCGAAGCTGGGCCGGTTGCGGTCGAAGAAGTACTCGTTCCGGAGCGGGTCGAAGTACCTCATGCGCCGCTTGGGGTCGCCCAGCAGCGTCTCCGGGAACTGGCAGAGGGTCTTGAGCTGCGTCTCGAAGCGGAGCCCCGAGATGTTGATGACCACTCGCTCCCCGCAGCAGTCCTGCTCGCCGGCGGCCGGCAGCGCGGGCGGCAGCGGCTCGTAGCGGTCGCAGCCGCCGCCGCCACCGCAGCCACCCTGAGGCGGGTCCCCGCCACCGTCGGCCGCCTCCGGCTCCAGCAGGTGGTCCCCGGGCACCACCGTCATGTCTGGCGGCAGCTCGGAGCCCGCGGCGGGCTCGGCGTAGCTGGGGTTCACCAGCGTGTGGGCGCCGCCGCCGCCGCCGCCGCCGCTCGCGGGCTGCTGCGGAGGGTGGGCGCGCTGGCGGGCGGAGGGCTGCGGCGGCGAGCGCAGGAGGCTGAGGTGCTCATCCATACGGCGGGGAGAGGCGGCGGCGGCGGCGGCGGCGCGGGGCCGGCTCGCTCCTCCTCGCGCTCCCCGCCCCTTCACCGCCTCCGCCTCCCGCCGAGCCCACCGCCTGTTGCTGAGCTGCAGCCGTCGCCGCCACCGCCGCCGCGAGGCTCGGTCTGGGTCTGGCGTGGTCCGCGCAGCTCCTCAGAGGAGACGCCTCCTCAGCCCGCCTCTTCCCTCCCCCGCGGGGCGCGCGCCCGCCCCTCCGCGTCCCCTCCGGATTCCGGCCCACCGCGCGGGCGCGCGCCCCACTCCCCGGGAGCCTCCCGGCCCAACCCTTTCCCGCCCGTCAGGGTCACCCGAGCGCTCACATTTTGCACGCCCCTCGCCCCGCCAAGGCAGCCCTTCTCCGCACCCCTTTCCCCCCCGCCCCGAGGCCGTGTCCCAATCTCGGGACTTCCCCATTTCGCCCCTCACGCGCCACCTGGGCGGGCGGGAGGAGGCAGGCTCCGCGGGGCCGAGGTGGCCAAAGGCGGGGGCCGGCTGGGAGGGAGGACGGCGACTTGCTCTGGGGCTGTCGCGTTATCCAGGGAGGGAGTGGCAGGTCAGGTGGGCGCCTAGGACAAGAGGTAAGCCGAGTGCCCACTTGAGGGTGAAAGAACTCCAGGCCGGGAGGGATAATTAAGCTCTTGTTTGGTTGAGAAGGCCGGCGGAGTAATGGGAGTTTCGCACCCGGAGTCTGAAGAAGATGGTCATTAAGACATTCAGAGACTTTGCTTCCGCAGTGAATAGTTGACACTACCTTTGGTAGCTGAGATTTTAGCCATTAGGAAGAATCGAGGACCAAATTAGGTTTGGCGAGGGCAGCCTGGTCATTCCAATCCAGTAAGATTTCCTATCCGTGCGAATATGAGAGGAAAAAGAGAAAGGAAATTCACATTTCAAGTCCGTAGTGGGAGGGGCGTAAGCCAGACCCTCTTCCTGGGGAATTGGCCATGTTCTAGTTGTTAAACTAGGACAACAGTCATCCCGCAACGTGTATCTCTGTTGCTTGATTTTAGCCTGGAGATAATAACTTACAGTTCTCCCCGTTGAACCTAAACTATTTCTCCAAATTGTTGTGGGCACACCGAACACAATTTCTGTTTCCAGACATTTCAGCAACTTCAATTGAGAGTCAACCGTAGGCTTCTTAAAAATGTGTTTTCCATGGTATCATTCAAATCATTTACAAAACAGGAACTCTTTATGTAGATAGTTCCCTCATCTGACAATTCAACTTGAAGTAAGCGTGATTTGTGGTCATTGCTTTCCATATCATTGTCAACTGTGAGTTTCTCTAGAGCACAGCCAGATCTTACCCGATTTTATATTCCTTGCAACTACAGAGGTCCCTGATAAATAGTAGGAACTCAGGATACGTTTGTTGTATTGAATTTCCCTACAAGTGATGCTTTGTATTTCTATCTGCTCTGAGCCCAGGTCACTGGGTTTCCTGGGCTGAGGGCTGGGGAGAAACTGAGCTCCCAGTACAGCACATTCTTCAGTTACTCCACAGGGTTTCCACCTCTGCCTCTTCTGAGTACAAATAGCACCCCTGTTCTTTACTGTCTTTTTATCTTCCATGTCACTTCCAGGTCAGTACCAGGCACTGCAGGCAGTAACATGTTAAAAGTAGACAACCACGTAAAATACTCCCTCACAAAACTAAAACACTGTATTTGAACTGGTAATTAGGGTAGCAGTATAATCAATCATTCATATATTTAAATCTAAGAATAAGACAGATGACTTACTTCAAGGATGGCTCATAGAAAGGCAAGGACCCTATTTTTAAAGACCAAATGTTTCATGCACTTCTATGTCTGACTTAGAAAGTGATTAATTTCTCCATTTGCAGGAATTAGCCCTGAAATTAATATTAATCAATGGCAAGGAAGAGCAGAACAGAGGATGGTCCTGTGATGGATGGTCACAACTTCTCCCTGCTGTGATCTCTCTCCTTCAGAAATGACTGTTTCCATTACTTTTATCCATTTGCCGTGTTTGGAAGACTGCCTATGAGTGACTTCGGATGGCCCTTACTTTATATTTGAGGCCCAGAGAAGTTTAGCAGTTTGTTCAAGCTCACACAGCTGGTTAGTGACAGAGTTGGGCCTAAAATCTTGGATCATTTCCAAATCTAGTGTTCACTCTACTGTATCACACTGTGAAACTCTTATGTTAATCACTGTGAGTGCTTAATAAATACTAGATTTCTAACAGCAGCCTATTTTCTTCTGATTGCTGGCTAGTTCACTTCAATTCATATTTATTTTAACTGAAAATCACTGCCTTCTGATGGCTAGTCTCTTGTTTATAGGAAATAAGTTGGTGGGCAAATTCCAGCCCTGTTGGACACCAGAACCCATCACAACAAATTAATGTCAAAAATGGCACTTCAATAGGAACACATACCATTTATTTGTAGTACCCGCCCAGTGGAGTAGCTCAAAGTGATTTGAAAATGTCTCATTAATCCTCATGACACCCCTGTGGGATAATAATAATATTACTATAATGTTTAAGTGCATAGAATTGTGGCAAAGCTGACAGCTTCTCCAAGCATGGGCAGAATTTCCTTATATTTACATCTTCAGTGTCGGAAGTAAAACCATCAAGTTTACAAGCAGCAAAGGTAAATCTTGGTATTTGGACTTTCTATGTTGCTTTCAAGGTAGCTTGAGTTTCTTACTGATCACAGCAGTACTAGAAATAACTAATTAGCAGTTAGTAGATATTAGCAGCCTCTGGAATTAGTCCAGAAAGGTTTGAGAGTGGGACAAGACAGGCCTTGAGACTACCACTAATTACAATTATGCATAAATGAATGGAGACAGAGCACCTACTGTGTACAAAGCACTGTTCTAGGTACTGTGGAAGTATAAAGTTGGAACATAGATGTTGCCTTCGTTGGCTCATGTGGAGTTAGAAAGATGGGATGTAAATCCGGAAAAAAATCTGAGCAGCAGTATTTAGTTAGCAATACAAGACAACAGTACAACAGTACCAGAAGTGTCACCTGGGACTATTTGGTCTATTCTAGCCAACCTGATTGCTTTGCTGTCTCTCAAACATACCAAGCTGGTTCCTACCTTAGGGTCTTTGTACTTGTTCTCCCCTCTGCCTGAAACACTGTTCCTCTGAATTTTCATATGGCTTTCTCCATTACTTTAGGTCACCATTTAAAATGTCTCTTCAGAACCGGCGCATCTTTCTGCTTCCTAGATGAGATGTTGCTCAATGCATGAATCATTTAACAAAGACAAGATCTTCAAATTTAACTTCTTCGATTGGTGGCAGTGAGGGGATCCAGAGCAAACTTCCGATGACTATCAGAGACAATGAGAAACCCTCTGGGTTCACTGTCTTTCTTGCCCTTTCTGGGGGGCTACTGGTAAATTCCTGTTTGAGCTCCACCCTCTTTGCATTCAAGCAATTGGCTTTCCTTTACAGGGCAGGTCGTCCTGAGCGGGCACAGGGTTGGGCCTGAGCCAAGCCTTTAAGAAGACCACAGTTTCCAAGAAGGGACAGAGCACATGTTTACGCTGTGTTGTGCGCGGGACCGGGACATACCGGGGATTCCCCACGCGCTGGGCCAGGGGTGTGGCGACGCGGGGCTTCTATCTCAACAGGACAACAAGGAAGCCCATGTGTCACGATGGAGCCCGGGACACACGACACGGCGTTTCTGTCTCAACAGCGACCCGCTGAGGACAGAACCAGAGCGCGCCTGCCCCTTCCTGTCCCGGTGGTCCCTGGGATGTCGCGACCCCCACCGCCCCGTGACAGAAAGGTCGCACCATGCGTGTTGGGTTCTGCCACGAAAAGTACGGCGAGATATGCCAGGGCAAAACCCGAGGCCTGCGACAGAGCCTGGTCTGTCGCGACACCCCGTGTCCTGTTGCGACACGGGGATGGCCTGCCAGGCGCCATATGTCTGTCGTGTCGTGGTGTGTGTCATGGCATGTGTGTGGCGCGGTGCACGCAAGCATGTCGATGTTTGCGATATTTATCAAATCCTCTAATCCCATCAAATTCAGTAAATCAAAATCAATCAGTGCTATTGCACAATTAATGTAAATATGCAATAGCAATTAATATAAATATGCACTGAGAAGGCATAAATAAAATGTCACTTCACAAGAGCTGACTCCCTTGGTGACAGCTACTCAATTTCAGGAGTTCCCCTTCGTCTCCCATCTTGGTAAATCTCTAACCTACTTTATTTTTTCCTTATTGCATTTATTTACTTGGGATTTTATCTTTATTTGATTACTTGCTTATTGACTGTCTCCTGCACTAAAACATAAACTCTCCGATGCTTTTTCACTTCTGAGTCACCAAAGTCTAGAACAGCACCTGGCACAATAATAGATGCTCAATCAGTATATATTGGATGGAAGAGAGTAAAAAGGCAGAGTGAATGCACAAGGCATATGAAGGTACTGTGAGTGAACCAGTTTTGCTAGTGTAGACGGGTTATTTTGGAAAAGAATCTGTTCAGTTCTGGTTCTGCTCCATGGAACATGCTGAGCTGTATGTGTATGTGTATATATATATATATATATATATATATATATATATATATATAGTTTTTTAAAGTGTCACTTCCTCCCTGTTACTCTACTCTCCCTTCTCCTTATCATCATGGATAGGTCTATCTTGCCCTCCAGAATTACATTTTAAACTCCCTCCTTGGGTATTCTTCCTGCAGATATCCGAAACTTGATATTTATAGCACCAAACTCATTATCTCTCTCTTTCCAAACTTGCATCTCTTCCTTTTTTTCTTATTTCATGTAGGAATGTGAAGT